TGTAGTCTGCTAAGAGCAATCAAATGCCTTAATCTATTGTAAACCCACCGTTTAACCCAACAATGCCACTTTTAGGAATTCCTACTAAGAAAATAATGCAAGCTATATACAAATATGTAAGCTGTTATGACAGATAAGTAAAGCTGGCAACTGAACATCCAATCATAAAGGATGGTTAGGTAAACTGTGGTAAGATAAATTATGGTAGAGCAGCCATACATAGGAACATCACAGGGCATTAAAGTATTGTAGAAACGCATCCAGTTATAAGAAAAGGTGTTCATAATATATTAGTTGAGGGAAAATACTGGATACAAAAAAAATAGTTTTTTCCTCTTGTTAAAAAAAAATATATACATATACAGAGACATATGCAGTAAGAGAGAACACTATCTCTATACTGACATCAATTTACTTTATTTATCTTTTAGCTCTTCATCAATGAAAGAAACTGATTTGTTGTTAAGAAAGTTTTTCAAATAAGGAATTAACTGTTTTTCCTATGAAAATGTTTAAAGTGTACATCATTCTTTTATTGAGGGATTAATTCTAAAACTCCAAGTACAATTCACCATTACAGCCTATCACATCCCACTTCTGCCCAGCCCCTTCCCCCAGTTTTCCCATTTCTCACTTCTGACGTGTAGTCACTCTAGACTCCAGGCTTCTGAGCAGCCCATGATCACCTCCCTTCCTCCCCCTCGAACCACTGCTTCCCTCCTCTGTTTCTCTGTTCATACTACTGGCACCTCTAGGCACCCAGGGCATACACATTCCCGCCCTGCTCTCTCTCTCATTTATAATAAAACAAGTCACTTTCTGAAATATCCCTTTAAAAGTGTCTCTGACTTGCCCAATCCCCACTCCTCCTGGTGTTATGACCTTAATAACTCTGACAGCCTCCAACACCATCACTCCCAAGGCCACACACCTCATAGCCTTGCTGCACCAGTTCAATCTCAAACCCATCTTGTCCCTGGATTACTCAGAAAACCTTCAATGGCTTCCTATTGTTCAGAGGCATGCCAAATTCCCAATTACCTTTCCAAGTTTGTTACCCACACCCGGTAATACTTAGCAGATTCCCTGGCAGACAGTTGTATTTAAATAAACATTTTACAAATGAACAAGAATCCTTCAACCTGGCCCAGTCTCTGGGCTTTCCTTCCATGTGGTCTTCCTCTTCTCTCTCCCACCATCCCAGGGGCTCCTCGCATTCTCCCCACCAGCCTTCCCTGACCACTACCCACAATGGCAACTGCTCCCTCCTTCCGTTTCCTGTGGTATTTGCTGTAACCACACAGGCAGAACCTTCAAGTATGATGATTTAGATTCTTTTTACCTGCCACTGCTAGCCTACAAATCTGGTCTCCCGTATAAAATCCAAACTCCTTTGAGACACAATTATTGCTTATATTTCTTTTGCTCAGCCCACTCACAGCAGAATTTCATGATGTTTTATTTAAACTGCAAACAATCAATACATATCTGTTTAAATTAATGTGAAGTAACACCGAAAGCATTAGGTGAACCAAAAAAAAAAAAAAAGGACTGTCAACACAGAGGTTAAAAGCAGAATTGTCTACCTAGACTCAAACTTCTGCATCCACATAAAATATAACATATTATCTTCTCACAAAAGTCTGACAATACCCTCAGATGCTTCTGGCATGTTTTGCACTAAGTCTCTCCTTCCCTACCAATCTAGAATCATGAGAACCTGCGCTCCAGGCCACCCAAGCTATTGGCTATTCCCTCCACACAACTGGCACACTTACAGCTCTCTGCTTTGAACATGCGGTTTTCTTTGTTTGGAATAGTCTTTCTTTACCCCAAACCCTCCTCTACTTCTCTATCTGAAAAATACCTATTAGTCTTCAAGCATCGCTCAAACATCCTGCCTGAAACTTTGATGACCCTCTATAGGATGAGGTAATAAATCTCACTCATCTTCCTTTAATGCTATGTAACATTTTTCAACCATATTGTGAATTTTCGTTTTCTTGCACATACATACACACAGTGAGATATTTAAGGGCAGAAGTCATGATTTATGCATCTGTAATACTCAACACCTAACACTCACCTAACATCTAGTAGGCAACGTTACGGAACGAAGGAAGAGAGGGAGAAAGGGAGGGAAGTCGATTTTTAACTCTTTTCTAAGACATCAACTATAAAACCTGAGTCCTCCAGGACCCTTTCCTCATCTGGTTCAGTTCCACAGGTTCTCTCTCATCTCTGCAGCTGCCAACTCCTCTACCACCTTCTACTCCCTGACCATCTGGTATGAAGGAGACAATGAAGCTCCTTTCCACCTCCCCCATGCTACAGAAGAATCCTCTCTCCACCTAGTTTAGCAGGGAGACAATTGGGATATTTCACACAGAATTTTTATCAGGAAGAAAATCAAGTCAGAAAAAAATTCACAGACAGAAAATCAGCAAAGTCGACAGGTTTACAGAATGCTTACTGCTGATCCGTACTTAACGAAAAAGCCCGGCCTGGCAGCCCCCCTGGCGCCTCATTCCCCTTTCTCCCCTTCACCACAATGCTGTCTGCGGTGGATGGTAAACAAGAGATCCTCAGCTTGCTGAGCCAAGGTGGATTTGTGTTGGTCCCACACCATCCAGGCCTGGTGAGGTCACCAGAACCTTTGCCAGATCTGCAATCCCTTCCACAAACTGCTGATGCTGTTTTCTTCAGGTACCACCCGCCTCCGCCTCTATTCCATCTCCTCAGACTCAAAGGGATAAAAACTCTCCTTCAAAAGCCACAAAGTCCTGGCCACCCAAGTTTCCTATCTGGTCTCAAGGATTCCACCCCCAGCCTTCAGGCCCATGGCTACAGAAACCTCACAGGTGACTCTTCAGAATTCCTGCTCTCCTTCAGACTTGTCCCCAGCCTAGACCTGCCCAATATTGAGTGGATATAGCAGCTGGCAAAGATGCTATTCCAAACTGAGATCTTAACCTAGCCTCACCAGCTGCCACATGGCCTCAAATGGCCACTGCCTTTAAATAGACTCTTTCCAATGGATCATGTCAACAGACTAGTGAGCATCAGAGCCCTAAGTTGTTCTCAGTTTCTGTCAGAAGGAGGCTCTTAACTCCTGTTAGAAAACTGAAGTAGTATGCCCTGAGTTGAAAGAATTATTATAACTTCAAGGGCTCAAGTGAGTTTAGCCATTTCTCTAGGTTCCTTAGCAGCACACTTAGATGTTCTTCTGCTCGTGTCTCTCAAAATTAAATCATTAAGGAGTTTTACAATAGCAATAGACCTTCATACACCTGATCCCAATCATGTGAGCCCAGTATGCACACAGCAACAGAAATTAGTTCAGGAAAGATAAGAACGCTTTTCTGTTGTCTGGGCTTTCATCTTCTAGAATCTCTATATTGTATTGTGCTTTATGAAAAAAAAAAAAAAAGCAAAGATTCTTATAGAGAATCCTGTTCTTTTCTATATAATCCAAACCTCCTTACAAATATACCCTTTCTTCCTCTCCCAAAACTGCTCCTATGTTTAACCACTTTTCCATTGGAACCTATCATTCCTGTATTTGAATTACTTAATTTCACACTTTGACTGAATCAATGTCTAAGGCATAGCAAGTGTTGGGCAAGGTGACGTAAAGGTACCCCACTGAATCTTCACAAGTTTTTGTAACAAATTTTAACTATGAAAATGTTCCAACATATGCAAAGTACAGAGAACAGTATAAGCCCAATATCCCACTTTACAATGTCAAAAATCATCATACTGCCTACTCTTTCTTCCCACTCCACCAAACTTGGATTATTTAAAAACAAATCTCAGACATTATGATCTCATCTGTAAATGCTTTGGTATCTATCTCTAATAGACTTTCTGCATGTCTCAGAATCAGAATGTCATTATTCAGCTTAAAAAATCAATTAATTACAATTTAGCTAATCAATTAAAAATCAATTCATTATTATTCAGCTTAAAAATCAATTAATTAGCATCAGATGTCCCCAAGTATTTGAATCCCTGTATCGCCATCTTTTTGTTCTTGCTGTTCTATTTTGGTTCTGCAGTGCTGAGGATCCAACTCAGGGCTTTAGACATGTCAGACAAGGGCTCTATCACTAAGCTGTATCTCTAGCTGTCACTTTTATTTTTTATGCTAATGCATTTTGATGAGAAAAGTGAGGCTCACAGAATTAGTAACTTTCTAGCTCACATGGGTACACATCAAGGTACCAGCTTGATACCTTGACTTCCCATTCCAGTCAGTACTGCCTGCCTTCTCTCAATATTTAGAAAAGTCCACATGTCCACATATTTTGCTTTTATTATCTTTACAAAAGTGGCCTTTCCTTTTTTGAGTTTTAATTTCAGTTCAATAACATAATATGCTTTAGGTTAGAGACCTGAAGGAGACTTTTATTATATTACTCATTCACTGCCCAACACCACCAAGTAGGCAGAAGCCTAAGAAACCAAGAAAATGAGCTTGTGTGGTATCTGGTGTACTCCAGCATCATTCCCCGGAGGCCTTCTCACAGGGCTCCACAGCTATAATAAAATGACAGGATTATGATGAGGAGAACAACAAAAATGAGCTGTTTCTACCAAGCAGAAACCAGATAGTCCCCTCTGGAAGAGTACAGGATTAATAGGGATGTTTACAAAGACCTTTAAACTTCTTAGCAGTAAAAGCATTTTCCTCATCCTACTCAGGTCAAGCCTGAAGAAGTAAATGAGTTGCAAGACTATTCAGCCAACTTCTTTTGAGCACTTGACACCATATAAAAGAAAATATCGCCATTTGCCATCACAAACAATTGGCCACACATTTCCTATACATTGTTAAAAACAGAATTGTAAAGCAACTCTTCACAAATCCTGCGTAAAGATGCTTTGGAGGATGTTTTAAAAATTTAACAATGAAATAAACAGTTGTTTGAAAATAACTTTCGAAGTTATAGAACACAAAGCAAATAAGAAACAAAATAGATTTCTTTTATACTGACCTTCAAAAATATTGTTCTAAGCTCAGCTGGATCTGCTCTCTTGGTTAAAGCCACCTATAAATAAACATAAAAATGTTTATATTATTAGAACAAAGCTGAGAAATCAAGCTAGCAGACTAAGGAAAAATAAACTTAAGGTTAGAAATAAGTGGATTTCACTTTTGTACTTAAAACATCAAATTGCCCCAGTGCATAAATGAGTCCCCAGATTTTAAATTAGACCCTGTATTTGGCTTCTAGAATGATAATATTCTGTGCAAAAAACCAGTTAAAGCTCATAGTATCTAGTGTTTAATGTGTATTTTTTTTAAAAAAAAGAACAAAAATAAACAAACAAAAAAGTTGAAACAGATTTGTAAACACCTGGCATTCTTAAACTACACTCTAGGGGTATCTCATGTCCTTTCACAAGGGAATGTTAAAGTACAACCTGTTTGCTAACTATGCAAGGGAACATATTTCTTAAAGAAGCCAGTGAACTAGGCAAATCATATTAAAGAACCTAAGGGAATTACTTCCCATGCTTCCACCATGAGCAGGCATGTATACCTAACTACCTGGCAATGTCAAGGAACTTCTCCCTTCCCCAACTTCTAATTTAATAAATCAGAAGTCTCCAAAGGTATGACTATTATTGTCCACATTCAGAAATACAAGAGGCTGTGGTTACCTTCCATGAGTAAAATTTGACAGATTAGCTCAGAATAGGTGTTGTGCTTAATTCTCCAGGCCACAAAGTCCAAAAACATCACTGGGGAAAAGCAAGACAAACTTGAACATGACTGCCTTGGGCCAACACAAAAGAGCCCTTATGTGGAATCAAACAGTGGGCTTATTCAGCGTCCCATCACCCAATCCTGCTGGCAAAAACCATCATGAGACTGAATTCTCACCAAGCACAGCGTCGCCCCAAGATACAGCCAAGGAGGGGCTCCTGGAACCACCCCAACACTGGAGCCATGTCACTATCCACGGGGAGATTTATGCAAATTGTTCTAAATCCCTTCTGTGTGTTTGCAAAGAGTCTTCTGAGATCTTGGGACAATGAATTCTCTGTCTCTAAATGTGGAACTCCTGAGCTCCTTGGCCCTCCACTGTCAGGAATAATTTTATTAACTAATCACTGAAATGGGAGAGGTAGTCTTTCTGAAACCAGTTGGTTAGTCACCATGATTCCCAAAGCAAGACTGATAACTCTTTTAATTTTAGCTCAGTACCTATAGCCACCAATACTATTTTTACTCACAAGAATTTCTTGGTGGTCTCTGCTCTTCAATAGAGGAAAAAATAGACTGCTGACCAACTTAACCCAAGATTAACGATACTGCTGACCTAAAAGTTCCTGAAGAGGAATCCTCCGGTGGGGTCTCTACTCTGAAAACGGTGGGACAGGACAAGAACTCCTGGAGGTCATAAAAGCACTCCAACCTCCACCGTCAGAGCAGAAAAATGACCTCCTCCACACCAGGAGTCCCACACCTCTGGATGGTTCAGAAGTAACATTTTGAAAAGGGCTTTCAGTATCTTAAGTTCTTAGTTGGTTTTCCTTTTAAAAGCCAAAGGAATTTTCCACAAAAGGAACTATTCCGGTTCTATCTGAATACCACATCTTAGTTCGCTTAGTTCACTATGCTATGCACTTTGTAAGGCCTCCTGGGCAATGCTATCTCAGTGTGAACTTCCCTTTCCTTAAATCGCAACAGCACAATCTGTTTACCAATCCCAAGAACCACATCTCTGTGACAGAAAGCATGGGTTCACTTTGTAACTCACCCAGGATTTAGGACACACGTGAAAACAATCTATACAGTGATCACCACTTTCAAGTCACATCACCCAGAATGCAGAGAACACTGGACAGTGTTCAGAGCATCACTATTCTCTACTTGGATTCTCAGAGCAAATCAGAGAGTTAAATAGGATGGATATAACTTCCCTCACTTGAAAGAAGGGGAAACTGAGGCTCATTTATTTCCCAAAAAGCCAGATTAAGAGCCAATCTGTGCCTACATTTCTAAGTGTTTCCTTCCTGAGTTTTTCTCACTTCCTACTGTGCCACATTATAGGTAGTTTCAATGTAACCCTGACTTATGCTAACTGGGAGTACCACAGAGTGTGTACATAGAAATCAAGACTCTCCCAATTTATCCTAATACCACTGATTTAGTGTCCGTCCTCTGCTATAAAGAGTATGGCTTTAGCTGGGCATAGTGGTGCACAACTTTAATACTAGCGACTCGGGACATCAGGGCAGGAGGATCGCTAGTTTGAGGCCAGCTTCAGTAACTTAGTAAGACTGTCTCAAATAAAAAGGGCTGGAGATGTGGCTCAGTGGTTGAGTGCCCCCTGAGTTTAACTGTTCAATCCCAATAAGTGGAGTGGGGGCAGGGAATTTCAGTGTCAGACCATCTTTACATGGGGTGCAGGCCTGACTGCTGGAGCTTGCTGGTTTGCAATCCCGGTGCTCTTGACTCTCAGTTTCCTCATCTCTAGAACAGGAAGCCCTGTAGACTTGGAAGGGCCAAATATGAAATAATTACATAAAGTATTAAGCACAAAAAAGGTCAGACAGTTAAAGTGCTTAATAAATGGTATCAATCATTATCTGGACTATTTATCAAAAACTATATATAGTCTCCCATGCTTACTTTTTAATACCCTAAATAATAAGTCACCTGGCTCACAACTTTGAGGGGAGAAATAAGGAGGACAAAAGAGAAGGGAACTCATGGTCCTCAAAAACACTCACCAAACAACTGAGCAAACACTAAAGCCATTCTAACTCATGGTCCCCTCTGCTCTCCTAGCCCAGTATCATGCTCCTTCTTAAAAACTGACCCAAAGTTGCAGTAAATGGTTAATGTTCACTATGGAATTTCCTTGAGGCCAGCTGAAATTTGTGTGAGGTCCTGGGCACATTCGATTTATGCACAGATAACTATTGTTCAGTGGGGGATGGATTCAGAAAAATTCCTACCAGCCTCCTGGGCCTCATCTCTGTACTAATTCCATCTACTCCCCACCAATCAAATGTGGCTATTTGGAATTTCCATTTGAATGTCCACCCTCATTCTTATCTTCTTGTTTACATGCCACATGTGGTAAAGGAAGGACACTTATGCAATTTCACAGAAGACTACATAATGTTGCAATGAGAAGTGCCAGTGTTTTGGAGGTGTATTTAGATGGATTCTACCTGGTGGTCAAACCAATATCCAGGAAGTTCCATGAGCTGGAAAAAAGAGCCACAGAAATGTAGCTGCCCTTTTTAAGTCAATTCAGAACAGCTGTTCAACATGCATACTTTACATCACACAAGCCTGGAATTATTAGACTTAGTTTATTCTTGGGCTTCAGAAGATTCATCAAACTTTAGATTGTTTCCAGAAGGGTGCTATGTATTTTTAAAATATACTTACAGCATGTTCATATTCATATGTACAGCCACTATTCTTGAAATCTAATTGCCTGATTGTACCACTATTCTTCTGAATTTGCGATAGATTAAAACAAAAATTTTATACCAATAATTTAAAATAAACTGGCTTTCAAACTTAATAAGTAAATCACTAAGAAGGAAAACAGTTCTTTGCAGACGACGACGAAATATTATTTGGTATTTAAATCAGCACAATAGAGAATTTTTATACACAGTCAGGTAACATATCAATTCTAAACTTAAGATAAAAAGAGATGAAGGAGTTGTTACAATAGGAAAAAACTGTGCACTAACGTTTCTCCCATAAACAGGGAAAAGTCTACCATTATTCAACTTTACAATGGAAATTTCAGGTCAATTCCCTGAATCAATATTCCATGGGGCAAAATTTGAGGATCACTAAATCTGGAGAGCTTTGTGACAAGATAAACACTAGCTACACCTATGTGAATAGGTCATCAATAGCACTTGCAAAACATAAGCTAGGCATATCTTAAGAATTTTTAAAAAAAAAACAGCCAATAACACAACTTCAATAACTGCTTTTTTTAAAGGCAGATAAGAGGAGAGAAATATGACAAGAAGAACCAGAAAGATATTTTCCAGTACAAATAAATTTACTCTTATTCTAATGTGAATTAAAGCAGGCAAAGATAGAGGCTTGCTAGGAAAAGATATTCCTGAATGTAGGAATATGTTTAAAATCAGCTTTCTTATCCTGTAATCAAGTCACAGTTGCAGGCTCATTACTTTAACAAATCACAGTGGTACAGAATGTGCTCTCCAAATAGTTGTTAGGTCTAACCATGAGCAATGGGGACGAGTATTTGAAAGCCTACATAAGATAAGGGACTCATTTGAAAAATCAAAGTCAAATGCAAAGAAAAGCAAGGATGCTCTAGAGATGTGAGACTCTGATCGCCCTGAAGGCTTCTTATTTCTCAGACCATCCCATGCTTGGCAAAGAAGAGAAGCTAAGAAGACACTATTTAAGTGTTGACTGAAGTGTTAATTCTAGGTTAGTAAAAAGCCAGATATTTATAATGAAAATAGGGAGCTCTCTTCAGATCTCTGGTTCTTAAAATACAGGATTGGGACCATCAGCACCAGTATCACCCAAGAACTTAAAAAATGCAAATTCTCACCCTCCACCCCAGACCTATGGAATCAGGGACCGACCAGTCTGGATATTCCTGGGCCCTCCAGATGGTTCCAGAGCCATAGATTTACATAGTATCCAGTTCTAAAGTGGAGATTAGGACTCAGATTCTCGGCCCATCTCAAAACTCAAGCAGTAACCAAGGGGGATGCAAATGAAATCTCAGGAATGGGCATCTTTAAAGCTCCCCCACAAGATTACAATGTGTGAATGGGAGCAGAGCCACTGGCTTAGAACCCCAGGTCCCAAGCCTCTATTGCTAGTCACCAATTGAGCTTTCCTTTCACAGGATTTTCTCAGTCCCCTTCCCAAACAGAAAAGTCTGTAAGTCAAGAGAAGCACAGGATTACATGGAAAATTCCATGTCACAATTATTTATATGAAATATGAGACTAAAAACCAGAAGAGGCAGATCATCGAAAGCAGACTACCGTTGTGTATGTGTGTAAGCAAGCGTTCAATGACAAGAAAAGTGGAGGGATAGGGAGAAACATTCCTTCATACCCTCCACACCTGAGGAACCAAGTGTAGGTAGACCTGAATCCCACTGAAAGACATTCTCAGGTAGGACCCAATAACCAAGCAGCTGGGGCCCACCCTCCTTCTCCGTCTTCCTGTACTTCAGAGACAAAAAAGATACAAGAAGTATACTTTCCAGACTACCTTGCAGCTATGAGGCCCAGGTGCCATCAATCAGAAGAAATGGAGTCAGATTTGTATGGCAAAGATTGGGGAGTTGGGGGCCAGCAGGGGCACCATCATTGGAAGTGTCTGGGTTTACTGTCGCACCTTCCTGCCCTCTCACACCAGTGGTAGCATGGTCCTGAAACATCCCAGAGTTGGCAGGCAGTATCCTGACAGCACAGGACGACACTGCTCCCTTGGTGGCCTGCTCTTCTGTGAGGCTCTGGAAGTCATTCCTGAGAGTTCAACCTCAAGTCTGTTTCTTCACCTTCCCAACAAATTCTGTAAGCCATTTAATACCCTATAATAAATCTTCCTCTGCTTAAACCAGCTAGAGTAGATTCTGTTCTCTGCAAGTGAACCTTGACTGATACAATCTATAATTGCAAAAGAAAGTTTGGAATTCCCTGAAAACCACACGGTTGCCATTAACTTGAGGGAA